ATAATAAGAATATATTTTTTAAAAAATATATGAAGTCTAGCCAGTTGCTTGAAATTCATTCCTGTAATCCTAGCTACTTAGGGGGATGAGATCTGGGGATCAGAGTTCAAAGCCAGACATGCAGGAAAGTCTGAGAGACTCTTATCTCCAATCAACCACAAAAGCCCAAAAATGGAGCTATGGCTCAAGTGACAAAGCACCAGGCTTGAGCACAAAAGCTCCCATAATTCAAGCCCCAGGATTAGAAAAAAAAGAAAAAGAAAGGATTTTTAAAAAAAGAATATGAGATCTAGAATCAGAACAAAACTTATCTCCTTACTCTACCATTTGCTAAACATGCAGTTTTACATAGGTCACCTAACTTCTCAAAACCTCCAATCTTTCCTCTATGAAAACTGAGAAAACAAGCCAGGCATGGTTGGCTCATGCCTGTTACCCTAGCTACTCAGGAACTTGAGATCTGAGAATTTCAGTTCAAAACCAGACCGGGCAGGAAAAATCCATGTGATTCTTATTGCCAATCAACCACCAAAAACCTGAAAATGTTCAAGTGTTAGAGCACTAGCTTTGAGCATAAAAGCTGAGGATCAGCACCCAAGCCCTGAGTTCAGGCCCTAGGACTGGCACCAAAAAATAAAAGTAAAAAAGATTCGGAAAACAGAACCTACTTCAGAAGGAAAATACTAAACAAGACATCCCCTGTAAAACATTTATATTCTAGTTAAAATGGAAAAATAAATTCATGTTTTGGAGTCCCATATCATTATATTCATACCTCCATTTTAAATGAACAGCAATGACAGATGAAATATTTGTGTGTGTGTGTGTGCGAGAGAGAGACAAAGACAGAGAGACACAAAGAGAGACAGAGACAAAGAGACAGAGACAGAGACAGAGTGCTGGTACTGGAGCTTCAAATCAGGGCCTTGTGCTCTCACTTGGCTTTCTTACTCAGTGTCTGGAGCTTTACCACTTGAGTAATACCTGTAGGTCCAGCATTATTGCTGGTTAATTGGAGACTTTTCTACCTGGGCTAAGAACCATAGTCCTCCAACTCTCAGCCTCCTCAGATACCATGCCATGGATACCTGGCTAAAACATGTTTTTACAAGAAAAGTAAGCCAAGTGCCACAGGCATGTAATCCTAGCTACTCATGAAGCTGAGATCTAAGAATCAAGGTTTGAAGTCAGCTGGGACAGAAAAAAAATCCCTTATCTTCAATTAACTAGCAAAAAGCCAGAAATGGAGGGGTGGCTCAGTACGTACCAGTCTTAAGCCAAAAAGCTAAGCAAGAGTGTGATACTCTGAGCTCAAGCACCTGCACCAGCACCAAAAACAAAAAAAAAGAGGAAGAGGAGGAGAGAGGGAGGGAGGAAGAGGAAAGAAGGAAAAGAAAAAGATAGGAAAGGTAGGGTCATAACACAGTGATAACCAAGTGACCAGCATCTCCATGAACAAACAACAACTGAAACCTAAGCGATACATACAATTTTATGCATATTTGCTACAGCAAAGGTCAACTTCCAAAGGGTGTGCACACTCCCAATGAAGAAAGACACAAACGGAGAGGTCTGCCTACTACATGGAACTGAAACCTGGACTTCCCTGGCAGCTTTCCCTTACTTTACCAGAACACTGTCTCTAGTACCTCCCTACAACTAAAAACCACTGTTTTATTTCCTAAGTTTCCTCTTTGGTTTGTTCTGGCCTTACAAAGGCAGAAAGCAGTTCTCTTTACGTACTCCTCTTTTGTGCCTTCTTAACTCTCTTCTCTACGTCCAATCCATTTCTCATTTACATCCCTACACAGTAACCCTTTTAGATTTAACACATCTTAATAATTCCATGTCTAAAGGAAGCCTTTCCCAATTATTTACACATTGATGTATAAACCACCTCTTTCTATGGTACTAATGTAGAAAGCAGCAATTAAGTTACTTAGTGCCCAGAAAAAAAGCATACAAATTTTAATCTACTTCTAAAGCCAGAGAATACAACATAAGCAAAACTAATGCAAGTTCATTATTCACTCATATTTACTATGCAAAAATGAAAGTTTTAGGAAGCTTTGAATAATATATATTTGTTCTTTTATATAGGCAACTAATCCCCTGTGAATGACAATGTATCACTAATAATTCCTTCCCTAGTCATGGTATCAAAACTTACTTAGTGGGAAGGTTAGAACTAGGGTCTCTGAGAACACAGATGAACAACAAATTTAATTCTTAAAATATAATTTGTCAAAAAATATTACCAGGCTTTGGAGAAGATAGAGCAACAGATGAGAAATTTAAATTTTAGAAGAAGGTATAAAAACAAAGAGGGAAACAGGAAGAAGGTAGAAAACTGAGCTAGAACCTGACTTGTGATCAATAAGCCAAGAAAAACAATGAGGGGTGGGGTTAGGGATGTAGTTCAGTGATAGAGCACTTGCCTAACAGGTGCAAGGCCCCAAGTTCAATACACAGTAGTGGAGGAAAAAGAATGTGGGGTACTAAGATCTAGAAATGCCAGTTTCTCTAGCCCTCAGACCTTACCCACAGTAAGTTTGGGATACTCAACCTGAAATTCCATTAGCAAACCAATTAAAAAAGAAAGCCAGGCACATGCCTCAAGACTGAAACCCTATCTACTTGAGAAGTGAAGACTGAAGAGTCATGATTCAAGACCAACCCAAGGAAAAGAAATTCAGAAGACTCCATGTTATCCAATGGCTGTTTCCAGTTGCACATATCAGTTAACCTCTAAGGGAGAAGCACAATTGCTGGTGCATCAACACAGACCTGGCATTCTCAGCAACACAGGAAAGTACAAGTAGTAAGACCACAGCCAATGCATAAAGGAGCTGGAAGAGTGGCTCAAGTGTAGATTACCAAATGGTGAGGCCCTGATACAACCCCAATGCCAAAAAAAAACAACCCCGGAAGAAATGTATAACAATAGGTTCCACAACCTTTACAGCAGGATCAGCCCAAAACAATATTAGGAAAGAAAACAAGGGCAACCTCAGGTATGAATATAGATCCACAAATGCAACCAATTTATAAACTCATAAATCTAGAACTGTAACTCACAATCATATCAAAAGAATCATCACATAATGATTTCAACCAATGCAAAAGAAAATTTTGAAAACTGTAAAGCCCATCTATAATTTTCTAAACAAATCTTATCAAACTAAGAATAGAAACAAATTTATAGAGTACCTGCAAAAAATTTACAAAAATATTGTTCTTGATTGTGAAATATAGATTCTTCAGAAATAAGTTGAGCACTTTATGACTTTTATTTACCATGTAATAGAAAACTGAACCAGTAAGCAAGAAAACAAAACTGGCAAACTTGGCCATTGCATTAGTTGCAGAAAATCCAAGAAAAAATACCTCTAGACAAAATATAGGAATTAATCGTGTGTGTGTATGTGTGTGTGTGTGTGTGTTGAAGCCAGCAGTGAGAATGAATGAACTAAAACTAAAATTGTGGATAAATATTAGAAATAATGCTGAAAATAAAAGACAAGTCACAGTTGGTTCCTTACATGAGATCTTTTGTATTACACCAAAAGCCAAACGATGGGTTATTTAATAATTATACATACCCTTAAATAACTGTACATTTAAATGTTCAATTATACTCAGTTTTAAAAGAAAGACAATGAGCTAGGTGCCAGTGGCTCACCCCTGAGAAGGCTGATATCTGAAGATTTTAGTTCAAAGCCAGCCAGAAACAGGAAAATCTGAAACCCTTATCTTTCATTAATCACCAAAAGCTAGAAATAGAGAAGTGACTGAAGTGAAAGAACAAAAATCTTGAGCAAAAAGGCTCCAGGAAAGTATCCAGGCCCTGACTTCAAGCCCCATGAGACATAAACAAAATAAATAAAAAATAAAAAGAAAGAATGTGCCAGGAAGTTACTACCTCCAGAAGTGAGAAAGGGGAACACCTATATAGCTTATAGTTCTCAAAATGAGGCAGGAAGATGATATCAGGAGTTTCACTATTTTGTAGTAAACTCATTCCCTATTACAGAAATAAACAAAGTCAATGGAATTGTTCATATGATAGTCAACAGATTTAAGTGATCGGCTTAATTAAAGTTCCTTCCTGGTAAATGAAACCCCTCTTCCCAGATTTCATTCCCAGGAAGGTAACCACAGGAAACCACTACAAAATATGCCATGAATCAGTGCCTGAAATTCTGAGAAAGAAGGATATCCCTCAAAGAAAAGAGGGGAATCACAGTTATGGAGTGCCAACCATGATCCAGTTCCTGGGATGGAAGTTTCCATGTCTTCTCAGCAAATTCCACAGCACGCATACTGTCAGAAAAGATCATCTACTCCCACCAAATTAAGCACAATATCTCTTCAAACCATGAATAATGCCCACCAAGAATTAACTTGCAGAGTTTATAATTTAATTATGAGTATAGTTCTACAAGTGCATATAATCTGGCACCTGTCTAATATATTTGAGGCAAGAAAGACTTTAAACTTAATAGATCAAAAAGTCAAACTTTGTTCCAGCTTTAAAGGGAATATAAGATTAGCAAAGACATACAGATACACAAAGATCACAAACAACCCCACTAGTAATCAGAAAGATCTATTGTTAAAGCAGTGAATTTTGCATATCATTAACATATATTAATAAAGACAACCATCTGCAGGATTAAAGGAATTTTATATAACACTTAGATTTAAGTTTATATGACCTTTATAAACCAGCAACTTAGCAATAGCATCTACTACTTAAAATGTACACACATTTTCACCTAATAACTTGACATCTAGATACCCATACAGGAAAAATCCTCCACATTAAAAAAAATAAAAGAAGAACATTCTTTTTCAGCCATTTTTTGAAAAAGTGGGTATGCAGGTAAAAGGAAAAAAGAGGAAGGAAATACACATTCATCTATAACCATTTCAAGTAAAATGATCTATTTTATTTTCAACAGAATATTTAAAAGCCAAAATAATTAACCAAAACTTACTTCAAAAAGAAAGAGGATGGAGTCCAGCTCCTCCCTTTGTGATTTATTATTCCCTAGAAATTAAAAAATTAAAGTTACTATAGTGATATTTAAATATGTATATTATGAATTATATTAAAAGGTATCTTATTTAAGGTTCAATATACATATATCTAACCAAAAAATACCTAGATGGAGTATAGGGTACACACTAGGAATGCAGATAGAAAAAAGACAACAAACCTGGGTCCATATCTAATAGAACCACCTCTTACTAGTTGTGCAAACACAGCTCCCAAGTCATCACTACCCTTAGCAGGTAATTGGTTCATTTCTCAACTGGTTATTAGCTCAAATCATGGCAGAATATACATGGTTCTAGCATCATAATAAAAATAAGCATGCAGGACTGGGAAAGTGGCTCAGTGGTAGAGTGCTTGTCTTGCATGCATCAGGCCCTGGGTTCTATTCCTCAGCACCACATAAGCAAAAAAAAAAAAGCTGGAAGTGGTGCTGTAGCTCAAGTGGTAGAGCACTAGCCTTGAGCTGAAGAGCTGAGGAACAGTACCCAGGCCCAGAGTTCAGGCTCCAACAACCAACAACAACAACAACAAAAAAAAAAAAAAAACAAGCATGCAATTTGTAATATAAGTATCTGTATCTCTGGGCAAATGCACACTATAATGAAAATTATAAAACTATAGTATCTTTCTCCAACAGAAATTACCATTTATTGTTGATTCTGTGAATCAGGCATTATGTTAAACTATTTGGCTTACATCATTTAACTTAGGAATTGGCAAACTTATTCAGTAAGAGGCCAGATAGTATTTAAGCTTGGTAGACCTCTCTAGTAACCCTCAATTCAGCCTTATAAAAGTAGCCACAGGCAAAACATAAATAGATGAGAATGTGTCCAATGGAGGCTTACTTATAACTTTATTTATAAAAATAGTCAGCAAGATAGAAGTTTCAGGCCCCTAATCCTCACGGATCTATGGAGAAAAGGGAATGAGAGGGCGGGGGGTGGGGGGGGGGGGAAGGTTCGGGGGGTGGGCAGCCAGGGGCTACTGTTATAGTCCATTGAGGATATTGGCAGCTTCAGTGTCATCAATGGAGGCAATGAGAAAAGGCCAATGATTCTGGATGCATTCTGAAGGCAGTACCAGTAACTCCAAGGTTTGTACCTGAATAACTAGAAGGCTGAGGTTATCATAAAATGATTTCCATTACTCCCAGTAAACATTTTCTTTCATTCTGTTTTTTTCATTGTATTCCAGTAGAACAGAGATTATACTAAAAACAAGAAATTTCAAAACTCTCACCATTTCTATTTATTCTTAATTGAGTCTTTGTAATAGACCACAAAAAAAAGCCATCAAAAAAAGTCTCTTTCTCTATCCCTTAAATCTGGGATGCCACGTGCCTTTCTCTGACATTAGCAAATATGAGGCAGTTTGCTGAGCCTGGGACTCTTGAGTTAACCATGTGAGGGAAGCCAACCTACACTGCTGGCTGGTGAATGAGAAACCACCTCAGAGTACTAAGGCATTCTGGTTAACAGCTTGTCAATCAAGACATGAGAATGACACCATTCAATTACACTTGACCCCAGAAGCACAAGTCAGCCTAAACCAGAACTTTCCAGCAGACTTAGAGAGCCATATGCTGGACTATGATTGCTTGAAGGTACTCTTGTTTGGAGGAGGTTTATTCCATAGCATAAACAAATGAAGTCTTGAAGCATCACATTGTCCTAAACAAAAAGAATGTATGGAAGTAAGGGGAAAAGAGGGAAAAAAGAAAGAGAAAGAAGGGACTCTAAAAATGTTTGAATTTTATTTTTATAGTTGGGTTTTGTACTAAGATTACAGCATTTTTTCATTGCTATTTTAATTGTACACAGTATCACACTTTATTCCTTCACACATCTTTGAAAGAAAGTGAGAAGGAGCAGAGCTAAATAGTTCAATTAAATATTAGATCATTTCATATTGGAAGTAACTAAAAAACTAGCCAAATTTTTTTTAATTTATTTTAATTTCTCCCTCCTGTCCCTACCCACAAATTGCATAATTTATTTTTTATATAGTATACAATGAATAACATTGAAATAACTACCAATTTGCCAAATTTTTTTCTAATTTAAGTTCTAGGTTTATATCAATTTATAAATCATAGAAGTGGAAACTGAGAAATCTATTAAGAAAAACAATGCACTGGCAAACAGGGTTTACACACTCAAATATGACTTCATGGCTGAGTAGAGCCTAGATCATTCAGTAAGACTCCAAGCCATCTGCTCTATGTCAGACCCCACTGCAAATCTCTTCCCTTCCAAATCTCTTTTCTCCCATGCCTGACATCTGCTTCTGTTTGGCTAGAGCAATCATAGCACTTAACAGAAAGCCTTGAAGTTTTTCCTCTCTGCCCTAAAATGCCTCTTTGACTATACTCATTCTTCCTCCTCCTTTCCCTCCTTACATTAAGGTTACCCTGTAAACTCTTCTTCATTTCTCTTCTGTTTACTTTATACTGTCTCAACTCACTCCTGTAGTACCTACACCAACTTACTTCTCTCTTCTGCTGTCCATCTCCTCAGTCTGCCAATACAGGAAGATGTAATCCTTAACAACCTTCCCATGACTATTTTGAGACATAATCTGTCTTTTTTCACATGGTTATTCCCATGGGTAACTTTCCCCAGTCACTGCTCTGCCACTCTGTGTCCATCTGTTTGGCTCTTTACCTAGAACTGCCCCCTCAGTATTCAGCAATGTGCTCTCATTTTCTAGTCATGCTACACCTTACCTTTCTGTGTTATCATGTTTTCTAATTTTTCATGCCTAAAACTCTGTCTTCCCTGAGCTTGTGAAATAACACTTTCCTGGTTGTTAGTCCAATAGGCTCCTTTCCCATAGCTTGGCATGCTCCTTTCCCAGGACCTGGCAGGCACCTTTCCCAGAGTGTTCATCATAGGTTCATTTGGTGCCGGCAGTAAATAGAACCCTAGGCCCATTTTATGCAGGCAGTAAATAATCGGCCTCCTTGCCCCTTACCTTGAGATGATTCTCCATTGGGGCAGTTGCAGCCATATAAAGTAACCTACAGTATGTCCAGCTGCAGGCCCCTTATCTACTACTTGGGAGTTGTCATAAATCCTAGCCCACCATGATGAAGTCCCTGGCCCAGACATCTACATCAAGGTTCCTGCCTCCTAGCCCCTTAGATTATATACGCCACCTCAGACAAAGACTGGGCTGCTTCTCCCTGTGAGAATTGGCCTTGTCAGTCCCTTTACTGGCAATAAACTTTTCTTTCTTTGTTCTATATGCCTGGGTGTCAAGTGGTTTTCTGGAAGGTCCTAACCCTGGTATCTCATTACCTTACTCATGTAACTGTAACCCCTCTATACAGTATCTTTACAATAAAAATATTATTTAAAAATGTTCTTAAGAGCTCTGACTACCTGAAATGAAGTACAGACTCCTTAGCCTAGAATTCAAAGCTCCTTGCAAGAATAATATGGTTTCCTAAAGCTTTCTATCATATACTTTATGTTTCAAGAAAAAGAAATTAATTTCTCACATGTGTTCTAAGCATCTACTTGTCTTTGCTCAGGTTCTACAGTGCTATTCTCTTCCACCTAAAGTCCTACTTTGAGCCCCATTCACTCTACCAACAAGAAGGGGAAAGCAAGGTAGAAGGCTGAATATACTACCAATGGTCAATGATGCTATCAATCACACCTATGTAAAAAAAAAAAAAAAAAGAAGAAGAAGAAAAAAAAAACTCAATAGGAGAGTTCCAGGAGCTTCTAGTTGGTGAATAAAAACACATCTACATGCTTGGAGGGTGGTGAACACTAACTCCCAGGGAAGGAAGTTCCTATAGAATGGCCTTCCAAACTTCCCTGTATAACTATTCATCTGGCTATTCATTTGTATCATTCTAAATGTGTACTACTTGTAAAAAATGGGTAAACATGTTGTAACAAATGGATAAATAAGTTAGGTGTTTCCCTGCATTCTGTAAGCTCTCTAGCAAAGTGATAAAATCAAGAATGAGAATCCCAATGATAACTAGTAGATACTAGGGACAGGTAAACTTGGACCTTGCAACTGGCATTTGAAGTATAAGCAGTCTTGTGGCGCTAAGACTTTAACATGTAGGATGTGACACTATCTTCAGGTAGCCTATGTCAGAACTAAAGTGACTCAGAAGTCACATGCTGGTGTCCACTAGACACTGGCATCAGAATGTTGTGTTAAGTTGTATGAGAGAATAGGGAAAGCAGATTGGTTTATTTTGCCTAACTAAAATAACTTTTCAAATAGATTATATGAAAACAAAACTAAAAGAGCAATGGAGCTAATACTCATTAGCATGTACTACTATGTGATAAATTCAGCCCTGAAATCCTATGATACTTGTTGATCTACCTCTTTAATGTTGACAGAAGGAAGCTAACCCAGAGAAAGGATAACTAACCTGCCCCAAGAGAGACAGCCAAAAAGATGGGGTCATTCTGCCAACTAAATATAGAAGGATGTGAAGTCTGGCATTATTGGTGTTCCTTTCAAAGACTATTTTACATATAGGCATAACCAATACAAAAAGACAAACCTAATACACTAATAATATTTATGAGAGGAAATCTAGGAAATCTTGCATAGTGCTTTGCTTCTGCAAAGCCGTACTGGAGGTCTTCTGTTTTCACTTCAAACTCTGTAATGGACTTTTAATGGAGTTTTTAAAATATTTTGTTATTTTTCATTCCTTCTTTTTAGGTTAATCATTCCTTTGGAACTCATGCCTTCTGTGATTTAATTAACACCTGTATAAGTGAAAGCTCAAGGGAAGCCAAGATGCCAACCGGGACACCATGATCTCACATACTGGCTAAAGGCCAGCAAAGGAAGAAAGCTAAAATAAAAGCTAAATAAAATATATACAAATTATAAAAGTTCCCGAATGTTTTTCAAAAATGAAGAAAAGGCTTACCTTTTAATTTCAAACTATTTTCCAGTGTTACAAAATTTTCATAGAAGATGAAATATATCTGAGAATAGTTGGTCTCAAAAAACTGCTTAAGATCACTTGCATCCACATTATCTGAAAAGAAAAGTTTCCATTTACACCATTATTAGAATTTAGAAACAATCTTTTCAGGAACAGAAAGTATGCTAGCCTTTTAAAAGACAAAACTCATTCCATTTATTATTTTCCCCTGAGAGTTCTAAATTGCACCTGGGGCATCATCAACCACAAAGACCTGTGGCAGAAGGTTTTAACGTGACTCCAGGAGGTTAGGAGTGATGGGGCACAAGTACTCACTCAAAAAGACCAACTGGAAAAGCAGGTAGGTTTGGGGAAAGACAAGATCACTTCCTAATAGGGGAAGTCTGACTCTCACACCTCTGAGGGTCAAAGTAGTTATCTATTACCAACACATTTTTGTACATTTTCCTTAGCTAGTAGCTATTTGTGCCATTTACAGGGTCCTAACTAAGGAGTTAATGCTTTAGAATAACAAACTTGCTAACTAGAGGGAAATTATAATAGTTTTCTTAAAATTCTTTAAGGATTACTCAAAATTTATTTTTTAAAAAAGTGTTGTCATTCAATCTGTAACAGAATGGTGTCACTGCTTTTTCAGTCTAAACATTGTAAATGTACATAACCATATCCACTGCTATCTTCAAATTCTATAAAGCTAAAAATAATAGTACAGATCTTCAGAATTATGTTCCTTTGGTTAACATATAAGGCTAGTCCATGTAAAACTCTTCCCTGATTCTGTGAAATAATGCTCATAAGGTGTTTGTAAAGGCATATGAACTGCCAATTTCACATATTCACTTTACCAAAATAGACCTGAACACAGAGCTGCAGAAATTCCTAGTAACTAATGAATTTACCAGCATGAAAATTAATAGTAATAAAATTAGCGTCATCAATCCATATGCATAATATCATTCTCATGAACTACACAAGCTTACCAAAGAATCTTTGAGGGCCTTACAGAATCCGCCAGTTCCAAGGAAGGATTTTGCACATATTAATTCCAGTGTAAACTACAAGCCCATCCACTACTAACTGCCTTCTGTCGGAAGCACACTAACCCTAGCCAGCTCCCATTTACCCTTCATGGTCAGTTAATACAACCCCACCCCACACTCAGACTAGGTCTGTACTTTCACTGTGTGAGCTTTACCCTGTTCTTCCCCTATTCTAAAACATGACAAAGAAAGGCTTTACTCAATGGGGAGGAGGGGAGAATGTAACCACAAACTTTCTTCAGATAGACTGTCTTGATCCACTCATTCACTTATTAAGCCCCTTCCCATGCCAACTAAATGTGCCCTGGGCTAGGAAAGAGAGTAAGACCAGAGGCTTAGGTGAACAAACCTGTCATAAGCCAAGCTGGTACAAGTAAGGGAATAAATAACAACCCAAAACTAAATAACAGGAGGTTTGCTTTATGCTTTAAAGACATTTTCATGAATGCATGCTATTCCAACCTCACCACAACCCGTTGGTCTAAAGAAACCTCAGAATCAGAATCTCCTATGAGCTGCCCAAGGTAACACAGTCAGGATGTAGGGAGAATTTCTGCTGGGGACTTCTGACTCCAAGCCATGACTACACAAAGCCCTCCAAGATAAATGAGAGTAAATCAACAGTGGGAGTCAGGTCAGGAATATAGAAGAAGTAAATGATTCCCTTAAGAATGAGCAGAAAGCTATACAAAAAGGAGCAGAAGGAAAAGTCCAAGGTAAGAAATAAGAAACCAGAGAGGGAGTACACAGAAGTAGCAACTTAAGCACCTTCCCACAGCCAAACAAAACAGTGAGGGAGAGAGAGGGGGAGAGACAGGAGATAGGCAGCAGAACCAGATTAGAAACAGCCTTTGATCCTCAGTGTCTGACAGGGAGGATGCTAGCATATTACCTTACTATCACAAAACTCAGAGAAATACGCCCAAATTAACCACAGGGAAACAAGTAGCAAACTACCTTGCAGAATTTGCCAAATGCCAAATGCCAAATCCGCACACCATGCCAAAGACCATCCTCTCCTACACATTTGTCCAGCTCAACTTCCTATTAACAATTCCTCCATACCTAGCTAAAAGGCAACATTAAAGCTGAGAACAAAGCCCTGGGGCAGTTCAATCCACAGAAGCTACAGAATCATAGACAACTTAAACATTCTATTCCTCAATCCCTTCTGAAAAATGGGGCTAGAGATAGTTCTTATGTTTCAGGGCAACTGTGAAGATAAAATGAACATGTGTCAAATACTTGTAAGAGTGTCTATAAGTCAGCATTAAATAAATGTTAGGGTGTTTTATTTTTTATACCTAGCTTCTGGCAAAGGCCATCTCAACAGACTCACCTAACTATGATGAGCGGCCATTTCAATGACTCAGAAATTCATATACTTAATCAGACCATCCCATATTAAATATCCCTTAATCTCAATACAACAGGAAACACTGCCAACAAACACACTCATGAAACTAGTGGGATTATCCCTTTATCTCCTTTCACATATAATCCTTCTCAATGGCAATTCTACAGCTTTTTAGCTACAAGGGCCATAAAATAATCTCATGGAAACCTGCCTTAGCAGACTGCTAGAAAGCACCAAATGAAGAGGGGAAGTATTTATCCCATTCAGAATCTCCAGTGGGAGCCTGTCAAGAAGCTCATGCTCTGCTTCTCTCAGGTCAGGAATGACCACTCACCATCCTATCCTTCCACTCAAATGCCCTGGATAATGGCACTGAAGACCTGATAATCAAAATCATAAGTAGTAATAGAGGAAAGAGATAAATGAAGAATTATAGGTAAACTTGGCAATTTAATAAAAGTCACTTACAAACACTCAATAAGAAAAATAATGAAGTACAATAAACAGGTGGCCAGACAGAAATGTTGTCAAGAATACTTGTCACTAATGATGCACCATTACTTTCAAGCTAATATGATTCTGACTTCCCATTCAAACAACTGCCTAGCTTAGTGTTCTTTTCCTCTCTTGCCAAGGTTTGTAAAAAGGCAATTCATTATTCCTTCCCTCCAACCACACCTCTGGATGGTGCCCACCCACACTTATTCAGGCATTATCTCCTACCTACTTTGTCAAAAAGGTGCTTAGAGATGGCAAACTATTGCCTAGGAGAGTCTGAGGTAGCTGTTGGGTTTCCACGAAAAAAGTCATGGAACACAACTGAACCCAACCCAACAGCAGAGTACCAACCCCATGTAACCTGCAATCATTAGTAGAAACCACTCCAGTCAGCACAGACCCAGAGCAAGGGAGGAAAAGGGATGCTTGTTGCTGTTAGGCTCATGCAAGCAGCAAAGGCACAGGATGATTTGTTATGAAACACTACTGTGGAAATGCCAATGCAGAAGAAGAAACTTAGCACAAAACAGCTTCAGTGCCATGAGAGCCAGTAAGTCTATGAGAGTACCCCCAAATGTAGCACTGCCCCCTCCCTTAAAGAAGGAGAAGTCGGGAAAAAAAAGTAATCCAAGTAACAGTTTGCTGCTACAAACCTTCTGTCAACAATGACCTATGCTGGCTAGACTGTCAGGAAGGCCTCTTCCTTCTGACAACAGCCAATGTACCTGAGAACTTCCTGTACACGCAGTGAAGTGCTATAAAGTGCTAACCATAGGTAAATACCTTATCTAGGTGGCCTCATCTAGGAAAAAAGACAAAATTTACACAGGAAATGTCCAAGGAATCTATGCTTCAGTGGTCCAGCAATACTTTTAATATCATCATTACTATTAAAGGGAAATTCATATCTTAAAAGGGCCTTTTTATAAAGACTTTTAAAATGTCTGCTATGCTGATTAAATGCAAATACAGAAGCAATGGAAATACTAGTTTACATAGCAGAAAGCTTATCAGACAAGTCTTCAGCCCTCCAGTGATCAGAATCTGAAACTGAGATGTGATCAAGAATAGGATAAGCCAGGCACCAGTGGCTCACACCTGTATTCCTAGCTACTCAGGAGGCTGAGATCTGAGGATCACTGTTCAAAGCCAGCCCAAGCAGGAAACTCCGTGAGACTCTTATTTCCAATAAACCACTAGGAAACCAGAAGTGGTCCTGTGGCTCAAGCAGTAGAGTGCTCGCCTTGAGCTAAAGAGCACAGGAACAGCACCCAAGCCCAGAGTTCAAGCCCCACGACCAACAACAACAACAAAAAAAGAATGGGATAGAATGAGAAGGACAAAGAAGGAAGCATAGAGTCCCTTCAATCCCCTTAGCTAAGACATGTTCAATTCCCCCTCTCACTAGTCAGCGAGTTTACTGGTCTCAGCAGATCCTCATACTTGTGTGCCTCAGTCTCTCCCACCATCCCATAAACAGTGTCAGATCTCCACACAGCCAAGGAAACAACATTGAAAGAATTTAACAGTCAGTAGGATTTAGATATGTCAATAGGCTTGATTAATCCCTTCCTACAAACAAGAAAAAGTCATTCCTGAAGATCATAGCAAATAAGAAAATGATTTTTTAAATCATGGCAAAACCCTTATAAAAATGGACAAAGAGGGGCTGGCAAGGTGGCTCAGTGGTAGAGCACTTGCCATGCATGCATGAGGCCCTGGGTTCGATCCTCAGCACCACATAAGCAAAAAGAAAAAAGCCAGAAGTGGCGCTGTGGCTCAAGTGGTAGAGTGCTAGCCTTGAGCTGAAGAGCTGAGGGACAGCGCCCAGGCCCAGAGTTCAGGCCCCATAACGGGCCAAAAAAAAAAATGGACAGAGATTTCTTCAGACTAGAAAAAGTGGTCAAGGCTTCTACCCTAGATACAAGATTAATATGACAGAATAGCAAACAATGAAGAGCCACTCTGCAACTATATTCCTAATATATTTTCAAGATAATGATAGCAAAAAATGTATGCTGACCCCCTAAATAGCTGACAAAATTCATGTTACTAACTTATCTAATATTTATGCACCATCTACTATGTCTCCAGGCTATGTTAGAAAAAAAAGAAGCATCCCACTCAACAGCAAAACTTTTAAACATGCCATTATTACTTTGAAAATGAACTTATATTAATTTAACAAGCGATCAAAA